AATGTGAAAATTATTGTGATATTTTTAATCTGCAGCTTTGGTCACAAACTAATAAAATAGCCCTTGACTAAGACAAGAGTAGGCAGAAGTGCATAATTACTCTAGTCAATATGTATTAACGCAAGAGGATTAATTAAATTAGTAAGCATTGTGATTCAAGAGGAAACTTAAGCCTAGAAAAGCACAAAATGGGAAAAATGTTGAGTTGCATCCTGCCTCATATCAAGACAAAAAAAACTGAGTGGTGATTCACACCCATGTGCGAAAAAAAAGTGTAAAAACAGGTGTGGTTCAGCAGCAGGGAACGAGGGGGTACATAGTGGAAGGGGAACAGGCAGAAAGAGAACTGGAGCAAGGGCCACAGAGAGCCAGCATTTCATCTGGAACCACAGAGGGCCAGAGTTTCACCTGGAACCACAGATGGCCAGCGTTTCACCTGAAAATGCAGACGACCAGCATTCTGCCAGGAACTGCAGAGGGCCAGCGTTTCATCTGGAACCACAGAGGGCCATCATTCCACCAGGAACCACAGAGGGCCAGAGTTTCACGTGAAAATGCAGACGACCAGCATTCTGCCAGGAACTGCAGAGGGCCAGCGTTTCAACTGGAACCGCAGAGGGCCAGCGTTTCATCTGGAACCACAGAGGGCCAGCATTCCACCTAGAACCTCAGAAGGCCAGTGTTCCGCCAAGAACCACAGAGAGCCGAAGGCTGTCGTTCCTCAAACTGAGAGAACTGAGAGAGCTGATGTTCCACCTGAACCCCCCACAGCAGGGACTGTTCCACAGCGGCAACGTGGCACACCCCATGTGATCCAGAAAACAAGTATGTGAGTGTACAGTGTGAGGGGGCATTATTCACTACGTAACACCTCCATCCACAACCTGTAAGGTATTACTGCCTTCATCTTTGCCTTCCTATACCCAATCTTAAGTACATTATGTGCACCATTCTCAGCAAACAGGTTATCCGATTATCCGATTCAGCACCACCCCTGTGCCGACCCCCCCCCCCCCCACACACACACACACTGTATTCCCCCGAGGCGTCCCAGGTCACAGACACATGCTGGACGCCACAGCATCCCTTATGCCACACGATAAATCGCTGGACTGATCTGCAGAAACACTGCAGGATGCGTCCAGCAGATGCCAGGACCAAAAAGATGTAGCATCAGCAAAAGAGCTGCTGGCTTCTAAAGACGCTCACCCCCAACCTACCCCCCCCCACCACCCCCCGTCTAGGGGAAAGATGGAGTCAGGGCCAGAGCCTGCTGAGCATGACACAAAAGGTCTTGCTGCAGAGGTGAGATTATTTTGAGAACGATTCAGTCTTCACTTGTGTTGGGTACAAGTTTATGGCCTTCATTTATTTCATATTGACAATCTGGGAACGTGGAAAAGCCACATGGTGCGGATTCAACAAAAAACCATACTAATGTGCTTTCACTGATTAAACTAATTAGGTTCAAGGATGGATGGACGACAAACTGGGTTTCCTCTGTGTACGGAAGGGTGCCTGGTATCCCCTGTTTCTGTCTGCTTGACAAACGCATAAATAAAGACTAAACAATTTACAATATTAGGATGAGCAAGAAAAAAAATCTGCTTGGACAATAAGAAGCCTAACAGCAACAAAAAACAAGAAGCCATACAGCGATAACTGCCAGGTAATTTGCAAGGCCCAGTTTACAGCGAATTACATAAAAATAGGACAATTCAGCAAAATATCTGCATACAGTCAGTGGAAGAAAACTAGAAAAATACTGGGAAAATATCACACAGTGGACCACTGGAGACATAACAAAGTACAAAGGCCAGTAACTGATCTGAAACACTTCAGGGTAACTGAAGAACCTGCAGGCTTATCCGTTACAACAATTCAGGTCAGTTTTATGGAGGTGGAACCCATGGGACGTCTCTCTGGCCAGTGGGAGAGGCCTCCAGTGGGTGGAAAACATTGACTGGGTTATGCTGAAATACCCCCCGCCGCCCAAAACTTAAACATAAACAAAAGGCTGGGCCGCTGCATGTATCTGCAGCATCCAGACACATAAGCAACTTCTCAAATACCAACTCAGTCAGGGGCTCTTAGGTTGCCAGTGCCTGGGTGGGGGGCACCAGCCTCTTTGAGGTCTGCAAACGTTAAGAGCGAGTTCATGAGATTCCCAGAACGATTATACTTCTGTGATTCATGCTGAGTGAAGAGGCCAGTTTTCTAGGGAGGAAGGGATGACTGAAACTGGGCAGTGTATGGAGAGCAGGGTCTGAATTACATAAGACTGTAATAGCACTAAAAAAGCTTTTTAGACACCAGTCAACACTGTGCCATTTTGTAAATAACGTCCGTGGGCATTAACGTGAGCGGCACGTACGCCTGGCACAGCACCAATAGCTCTCTGTAAATATCTGCATCTTTAATCGCTCTCATTCTGAGAGATTGGACCCTGTTCTGCTCATTTCAAATGGACTGTGAGAATGTGCATGAGAGGGGGGTGCCTTCCAGTGGGAGTCAGGTGACCACGGTCACAGGCAACAATTTGTTCCAGACCCTTCCTCATTCCCAGTGTGCTTCTATATTAGTGTGATCTGGATCTCCGCCCCCCACCCCCACACAAGGTACTTGTGTGAATGCAGTGTGAATTTTGCATTGTTTCTTTTTCTATCTCATTGGTTGTTTCCTGGGGTGGCGTGGTAGTTTGCACTGTTGCTTCACACCTCTGAGACTGGGGTTCAAGTTCCTGCCCAGTGCCATGTGTGGAGTTTGCATGCTCAGGTATATCGGAGTTTGTAGGTGTGAAGGGTGAATGCGCCCTGTGATGGCTTGGCGCCCCATCCTGCTTATTCCCTCTAATACAAAATCCCAATTGTTCTGTTCGCCAAGCTGCCCAGCCTTTCAAAAAAAGCACTAAGCACAAATCAGACAAAGTTATCAAAGTTCAGACAGTTCAGTCTCACAGCTGCCATGTCACACCGCTTCAGCAGAGCTACATGGATGACAAACTTTTTGCCTGTGTAAAAAATAAGTTGTCAAGAAGACAGAAAACATATGATGATTGTCCACTATTGTGCCAATATGATCACGATCATTTCTTTATTTATCAAATGTCTTTTCAGCTTTTAGCAAATCCAGGCCCCCCCCCCCCCTCACCCAGTGCATGAGAGACCCACACCGTGGCGGTGAATTGTGGGCGTCTCTGACTCACCGTCCCAATCCCCCCCCCAGCCTATATTGGCAAGAGGAATGGCTTGCCTCAGCATGGTCACGACTACCCAGCAAGCGAACGCAAACATGTGACTCGCGCCACTCAGAGGTACGGGGGCGGGGGCAGGTGTGCGGACCCAAAAAACAACAGCGGGAGTGTGTCTCCAGAGGCGAACCACACACAGAGACCAAATCCCCCCTCCACATCGTTCCATGTTGCTGGACTTCAGAAGCATGTAGAGGCTTCAGCATCCCCCCAGCGGGTTCGATTCACAGTGAATTCGGCACTGTGATGCCTCATTGCTAGGTATCGCCACGGCATGTGACTGACTGAGCCAGAGGAGCAAACGGACCCCCCCACACTTCTCAGCACCTCCTAAACCCCCCACCACCCTTCCCACCCCAGATTTAGCCCCCATCTCCTGGAACTCATTACAGCTATCAGAGGAAGCAGAATGATGCCACCTGATTGGTCCAAGCGACAGAGGAGCTCCTGATGAAATGGAGCGTTGCTGCCTCATTGGTCCCAACAATAGAGGAGCTCCTGCTGAAGTGGGGAGGTGCTGCATGATTGATCCCGGCAATGGAGGAGCTGCTGCTGAAGCGGGACGGTGCCATCTGATTGGTCCCGGTGATGGGTAGTTCCTGCTAAAGCAGGATGGTGCCACCTGATTGGTTCGGGCAATGGCGGAGTTCCTGTTAAAGTGGGATGGTGCTGCCTGATTGATCCCAGCAATGGAGGAGCTCCTGCTGAAGTGGAGCAGTGCTGCCTGATTGGTCCCGGTGATGGAGGACCCATCTGATTGGTCCCAGTAATGGAGAAGCTCCTGTTGAAGCGGGATGGTGCCGTCTGATTGGCTCCGGTGATGGAGGAGTTCCTGCTGAAGTGGGGTGGTGCCACCTGATTGGCTCCGGTGATGGAGGAGTTCCTGCTGAAGTGGGGTGGTGCCACCTGATTGGTCTCGGTGATGGAGGAGCTCCTGCTGAGCCGACAGCTGAACAGCACTGCTTCAATCTCACCAGTACCAAAGAGCAGGACTGGCAGAGTGCCCCCTGGCCCCCACGTGCAGCTGTGTGGCGGCAGCAGGGGCCACGTGGCTTGCTCACTGTGGTCTGTAACAAGATTTAGGTGTGTGGAACCAGCAGGGATGTTAGCAAACGCCTTCGGAATGAGGCAATGACGACACCCGGACCACCTTCACTTTCCACCCAGAATCGTAGGAGAACAAGAGAAGGAGAGATACAAGGAGAGACAGAGGGAGCGATAGAGAGAGAGGGAGGGTACTGGAGAACAGCAGAGGAGGGGAGGGGGGATGTGCTGGGGGGGCATACAGTTTCCATAGAAATACTTTCTTTGCTCAGTCTGGCACTCTCGCTGAGGTACCAGCCCATCCTCTCTGCTGAGACGCTGTAAGACCCACAAGCATTGAGATCTGCCCCCCACTCCCACCCACATGCGGAGGACACGTCACTGTCACCGCCAGCCCTGCTGCCTTCACTCACAGCTACTCACTGCACCACGCGGTACCGGCAATGAGCGCAACGACGGCACGATGGCCGCTGACGCCCCTCACACACCTGCCTGCGGCCTCGCCCCCTGCACAGACAGTTACCATGATGGTGGTACTGTGATCGGCTCCGCGCGGTTCCATGCTGCCAGGATCTCGCCGTCCAGTTAGAGATCCCTCGTGCCCCCGCTCTGCTCCCCGATGTCGTCCACGCTCATATGTACTCCAGTGAGTACAACAAAAGAGGTGCATGTGCGTGTGGTTAGAGCGAGGCCCCGGGGTACTCACTCAGCTTGGAGCCGCTTCTCCCAGTCCCGTGGCAAGGGGCCTCCCTAGAGGAGGCAGGCTGGCAGCTGGGCGGCCCGGGAGCTGGACTTCTGCTGGGGCAGCCACTGGCCGGGACCAGGGCTCCGCTGGGTCCTCTGTGCTGGAAGTGTCATCTTCAGTGCAGAGAGAGGGAGTGAGAATGGGAGAGAAAGGACGGGAGGCAAGCGGCAAGTGAGACGGCAGATAAGCAGCGGAGCGAGAGAATGTGTGTGTGAGAGAGAGAGAGAGAGAGAGAGAGAGAGAGAGAGAGAATAAGGGAGGAAAGGAGAAAGTGTGGGAGCGTGGGCACGAGTGAACGGGCAACAGGACTCTAGTACAGAGCAGGAACCCACTCCAGCACTGGCAGACACACACACACACGCTTAGAGATACACAGAGTCACACACACACACACACATACTCAAAGATACACAGAGTCACACACACACACACATACTCAAAGATACACAGAGTCACACACACACACACATACTCAAAGATACACAGTCACACACACACACACACACACATACTCAAAGATACACAGAGTCACACACACACACACATACTCAAAGATACACAGTCACACACACACACACACACATACTCAAAGATACACAGAGTCACACACACACACATACTCAAAGATACACAGAGTCACACACACAGAGTCACACACACATGCTCAAACAGAGATACACAGTCACACACTCAAACAGAGATAGAGTCACACACACAGTCTCTCACACACACAGTCACAGACACATACACACACACACAAGCACACACAGACATATACAAACACACATACACAGTCACATTCACAGATAGACACACACACACGGTCAAACACAGACATGCTCACACACTTACACAGATACACACATGCTCAGAGACACACACAGACACACGCCCCCCCACTTTCCCAGTACCGTTATTACAGCCCCCCCACCCCGCATTGCTAATCACAGTAATACATGCATCCTGAGTCACTGCCTAAGTGCCGCACAAACACACTCACAGGCGCACAAATTAACCCTGACGGACGAAGGGCCCTGAGCGGCCAATCCTAAGCCCCCTCCACCCCACATCGGCGCTTATGGCCACTCACCACCCCCCTGCCCCCCCCCACTCTCCCATGAGTGCCCCACTGCCGCTCCCTCCTGCCCACCTCTCCAATTATTTAGTTTCCTATCATGAAATTTCAAAGAGTCCTGCTAAAATGGTGCAGCAGATAACAAAACAAGGGCTGGTAGTACTGAATCATCTCTGAGCCGAGGGGGGGGGCACAGGATGACCACAGGGGGAGCAAACTGTCAGCGGGCAAAGCAGCCGTCCTCATCTGGGTGCCTGACAAACATATATACACATATACGGTGTATTTTACATTAAACACACACACAAAGTAAGATGGGCAGCAGAGGATTCAGTCTGGAAGTATCTCCAGAAATCTAATCACTGCAATTATAACAGCTCCAGGTTGTTCAGGGTGGTGGGAGTCAGTTCTTCATGTAAAGAGTTATGGACTGATGTTCTAGACCAGCATTTCCCAACTCGGTCCTCGGGGACCCACAGACATTTTTGTTTACCAACCATTATATCATATTTATCCCAGTGATTTGCCTAAAAGAATGGGTGAGGGGAGGTTCATGCCACTTAATGGCTGTACCTTTGGACAGTCTTCCATCCCCAGGCGGATTTGATCAGCATCCTCTGGCGCACTGTGCTCCTACATCATTAACTCTGTATGTGGTCAGGGGGGTTGGAGAAATTGTGAGAGCACCCCCAAGAGGACTGATGGGCACCCACATGTTGGCAATGATAGGTCCACAGTTGGCACTGGGCTTTCTCAAAGGAATCAGAGTAAGAGACGGGCATGACTGGAAGTGCACTGGAAGGGGGAGGGGCAAATGAAATATCGGAAAAGACAAGATTTGGGATTTAAAGGGTCAAGTAGATGCTGGAAAAGACTGGGAGGGATCAAAGAGATGGAGCAGAAATGAGGATTAAAACAGAGGATAAAAAGGCACCTGTGGGAGTGGAAAGAAGAGAGCAATGGGATATGGAATAATGGGGGGGTGTGGAATAATGGGAGGTATGGAATAAGGGAGGTATGGAATAATGGGGGGGGTGTAGAATAATGGGAGGTATGGAATTGGGGGTTATGAAATACTGGGGGATATGGAATAAGGGGTGTGTGGAATAATGGGGGGGTGTGGAATAAGGGGGGAGGGGTATGGAATTGGGGGTATGGAATAAGGGGGTTATGAAATACTGGGGGATATGGAATAAGGGGGGTGTGGAATAACGGGGGGTATGGATTAGGAGGGTATGGAATAAGGGGGGGGTATGGAATAATGGGGGGTGTGGAATAATGTGGGTATGGAATAATGGGGTGTGTGTGTGTGTGTGTGTGCATGTGACTGTGTAAGTTTGTGACTGTGTGTGCATATGTGTGTGTGAATGTGTGTGCGTGTGTGACTGTGACTGTGTGCATGTGTGTGTCTGTGTGTGTGTGTGTGAGACTGTTCATGTCTGTGTGACTGTGTGCCTGTGTGATTGTATGAGTTTGTGTGTGTGACTGTGTGTGTGTGACTGTGCGCATGTGTGTAACTGTGTTTGTGACTGTGTGTGTGACTGTGTGTGCATGTGTGTGTGTGTGTGTGACTGGGTGTGTGTCTTTGTGTGATTGTGTGCCCAGTGATGGATAATGATGGAGTTGCAGCCTGTCCTGAGGTTCCCTTGAAGTACAGGAACACTCTAAAGCTCTCCATGCCTCTGTGTGCTAAAGCACTTGCAGGGATATGATGGTGATGTGATAAAACTCAAATATTCATCAAAACCCTGGAAAACCTGGCTGTGACCCGGTAATCCTTACTGTGACCTGGGGACCCTAACGATAAAACTGCGGCCATATGGGGTTTCATGATAGAGCAAGTTGCCACACTGCCAGCACTGTACATTTTCTGTGGGACAACATTCAAGCTGCACATAGTCATCATGTGTTTTATTGTGAGTCACTCGTTCTCACAGGCAAAGCATTTTAAATGTGCAATAATTAATAAATAACTGTAAAGTCAGCAGTAATTAAAAATTGCTTCTGCTGTTGGCATGTACACATATGCACGCACACACACGGTCTCGCACAGCGGGGCCTTGCACCTCTCCCTTGCTGGCTCCTGTGATTGGACAAAATTGCAGTGCTTCTGGCACGGCAACGGCGCATGGCGACAGCTCAGCCAATACGGGTCGAGGAGGGGGGGGGTGTGTTACTGCCATTGCCTGTTTATCTGGTCAGCCTCGATCTTAAACTGGACGCGTTTGCTGAGCTGTATCTCCTAAATCCACAAGGAGCACATTAATCCACAAGGAGCTCCGAATCCCCGCACGCACCGCTCTGCATAGCCTGGATGCGATGGACAGCACCCAGTCTGACCACACCCAGCTCCACAGCACCCCCCCACGCCCCCCAGTTGTCATGGCACCCAGCTCAGAAAAATCTACCGAAATGTTTTTCGTCACAAGTTATCGAACCACTGATTGCAGGAGCCATTATCTCATGATAACACAGCTGTTACAAAAAATAACATCTCTTAAAATACCTCTCATCACAGAAGATCCGCTAGCAGCTGTCAGTATGACCTGCAGTTACAAAATATGAATACCAAGGGAGAGCTATATGCAAGACTTATGTTTCATCTTCTGATTTTAAGCAGCTTTCAATTGACTTTTCTTTCAATATTTGCATGGCCTGTGTTTGGCACAGCAAAATACATCATTGTTGGACTGTGCCTGGAAGGGACTAGGTAACTGAAAATGTCAAAGCCAATGGAATCACAGACTGCAGTGCCTATAATAGTTAGGTATAGCAAGTAGTTTTAATAAATAAATCCTGGTAATTCACCAGATGTGAAATGCACTCATCTATATTTAAAGTTGAGGGTTGATAAAGATTGGGGGGGGGAAAAAGCTTTCAGCTTCAAAAAGTTTTCAAACTACTGCAGTAAACTGGAGTGTTTGGAAGACAAGGAGTGCTGGCAGAGAATAAATGCTTATTTGATGTAACTAGCATGAATGGATCAGCTCTGAGGAGAAGTTACTATCCTAAACAGCCCGGTGCTCTGCTATATAAAGCATAAAAGCAAGGAAGACTGAGCCGATGTGACTACGGCCAGGCTGCCTTCCCATCACACCCCAATCCTTCTGATTAACTGATTGGCCATCCGCTTCAGCATGACAAGACAACATGGCGGCCACCAGGGTACCATACAACAACTCCATCAGATGATGCTTCTTTTGCTGGTCAAGTCACAGTGTGAATTACACTGATATAGAAAATGGCCAGATGAGGATAATGTAGTTGCCTTAGCCAGGTCAGCTCCAGCCTCCACACCCACCATGGTGCCACTGAGATGCAGGAAAACTCCAGAAAACTTGGGGTCATTGGGCCAGATGTCCTCAGACGCCTCATTCATGCTCATCGTGTTCTGCTAATACCAAACGCACATTAAATAAGGGGGTTGCTGTGAGAAGCGAAACGGGGAGCAAACGGATTAGCAAAATATGCTAATCGCTGTGGGCAAGTGACGGCCAAGATTGCCGTCACAACTAACAACGCATCGCATCTCAGCCTGATCGTCCACAAGAGCCATTCTGTGGAACTATTCCCGCTTCACGCTATTTACAGACTTATATGTAAAGTGCTCTGTGTCAAATATGTCAGCAAGGGGGCTTTACACGCGTGAGTGAATTGAACGTACTTGTATGTGAGAGTGAGCAGATCGAGGCCCTCGGCGAATCGGCCGCCCAGTTACATCCTGCTCTCGCATGAGCTGCCTGGCCCCCAGCCACACGCAGCCTCACCCTCGGTGGATCTGCCACCTCTGACTGCCAGAGATAGAGGTGGGGGCCTACAAGGACCAAAAATAACTGCTGCAGTCATCATGGAAACTGGCAGAGGAGCCGACACATGCGAGCAGCGAGGCAGCTGGAGGCCGGGCAGCTTCCGAGGCCCAGTGCAGGCCGGTGCCCTCACTGCAGCCAGGCTATTTAGCTTTTATTAACTATTAAGATTCCACCTTTGATTGGCAGTGCAGCTGCACTGGCTAGCAGGCCAGGTCAGACCACTATGGCTCTCCCTCCCTCTCTCTGCCTCTCTGTCTCTCCCATCCTCTCATCATGCTGAGAGATGAGATGGTGAATTTGGGAGAAAGCCCGTGGAATCTACATTTCATTTCCCAGCTCCTCTGCAGCCGCAGAAATTGTTGCTATGGAAACAGTTCCTAGTTATAGACTAGGAAAGGCTGCGGTGGCAGAGTTTGGGTCTGCGGTACATTGCGTAAGGTACCTGATGCACCTGAAACACACACACACACACATACACACACAGGTTTGTAATTATATTTTTGTGGGGACTTTCCATTCATTTCTATGGGGAAAAGTCTAATTCCAACATGCAACCTTAACCCCTACCCAGCCCTAACCTTAACCATTAACCATAAGTAACCAAACTAAATACAAGACTTTTGGCATTTTTGATTGCAGTCACAGATCTTTGCGGGGACCTGAAAAATGGTCCCTACAACGTCAAACTAACAGGTTTTTTTTACATTGAGGGGACATTTGGTCCCCACAATGTAATATAAATATAATCCACAGATACAGACATGCAAACACACAAACACACACGTTTGTATTCATATCTTTATGGGTCCTCTCCCATTCCCCACAACGGAAAGCTACAGGTTTTTATCACATTGCATGAAAATCTGCTCCCCACAATGTAATAATTACGAAAAGGCAAGGAACAGGCAAGCAGATACCACCAACGTAAACAAACTGTCTATTATAACAAAGTCGATAATAGACAGTATTGCCATCATCAAGATACTGTAGTTAATTTGATTTTATTACTAATTTTAAAAAGTGCTGCGATTCTCCTGGGAAGCTGGTTTTCAAGCACGTTGTGAAGTGTCGGGGCGGAGTTTGAAGAGGCCTGCGTGATGAGCCGAAATCAAAGGCAGGCTTTTAAACTGCAGTCCCAGGACACTTAAATGGAACATGCCATGAGCTGGCAGCAGTCTCAACAGATCTCAACAGCATGACACAAAAAAAATAAGATTTTTCTCATGAATATTAATATATTTCTGTTAAATTACAAAAACTTTACAGTAACACAATAAACTTCTCTTTCACAGGTGAATCCGTCTACACATGAACTGGACAAGTCCTGAATATTGACTTGCAGTTGCATCGCGACGGTGAACGGTACGCTGTTATAATGTGGGTTTTTTACAGACAGCTCAGAGCCCCAGACCAGGAAAAACAAGTCATGATGAAATGAACAGGATTTGTGACCATGTGTTTTCGGACTCAAATCTGAGGATATTTCTCTGAAAATAAATTTCTCTGAAACATAAGCTGCTGTGACACGTATTCAGTAGTTTAACTGGATGTGCATATGTAAAGGTAAACATGTAAGAGGCTAAAGTAAGTCACTTTTGGTAAACATGTCTACTCAGCCACTGAAAATAGTCTTTACATTTAGGCCAGCACAAAAATGTTGCTCGGCTCACGCGGCAACATCCTGGACATGTTACCTAGCAACAAGGTATGTTATGTCCTTTAAGGCTGGAGCCAAATGCGGAGCGGCCAGGCAGCAAAACACAACATTTCCCTGCTAACAGAAGTGCAAACAGACTTAAGCGCTTCCATTATATCACTTTGAACGTTTGCCGTTCCTTGTGCGATGTGTCTTGCCTTTGGTATCTGTTCAATTGTGGCCTTAAATTTTGGCTGTTAAGCGAAATAACTGGAAAATAACCCACTTTTTCGTTTAAAGCTGCTTAATGTCGTGTTTTTCCTATGAGGGTGTTGGGGAGTTACAGGCAACAGTGGCTGTGTCCTTTGCCATAAAACGTATGTGCACTTTACTATTGCAATCCTATTTTTGACTGGGGAAATGCACATTTCTGTTCATATAAACTCATGGAATATGCTTATGTACATTTGGTAATCTGATGGCTCCAAATCAAATTTGCTTTTTGCTGGACGAAGGAGTAAGACCAATATTTATTTTATATATGGTAATATAAAGTAGTATAAATCCCATTTTCCTTGAAATCAGCTGAAGTATACCGTTAACGTGCTCGAAGGGGAATTGCCACATTTCACACTTGCGCGTTGTATATTTTATAGCGCACTTGGACTTTGAGTAAACCACTGACTGTATGAATAACTGCGAGATAAGTAAGCACTTCGCTAGTGACGCGATGGGTTACACTCTGCTGAGGAAACAGCTTGCAGAACCTTGGCATTATATTTTTGATATTTTATGGAGCCCCTGTCCGAAAGGTCATATGACACCCGTAGGTATATGGGTGGTGGGGTGTGCGGTGATCAGAAAAGATAATACACACCACAAGTACAAGTATAGTAATTTCTTAAGGCTTCTCGTCACACGATGGTTCATAAGCAAATGCGTGAGACGTGACATGCTGAACTCGAGAGCACATGGGCCGAAGGCGCCTGAAAAAGTCACGACGCAACACATGCAAATTCATTCATTTATTATGCGGCTGATTCAAACGACTCAGCTCCGGTCCTTATGGGATACAAGCTGTTGCTGGATTTAATTCTAAATTCACTTCATTATCTCTTAGCAAAAGGACAAAGCACGCACGCATTCGAAAAATAATTATTATTTAAAAACGTGTTATTTGCGCGTTATTCACCATTGACTCGTGCAGATGGCGTAACACTCCTTAGAATGACTATGTCTTACAGAAGTTCGTAAGACCTGACAACATGCTCCTCAACTGACCAGCTATGAGAGAATATATAGCACCCCCTTGTGGCCAGAAACCAGGCGGTTCTGTGGTCCGCCTAGGATTATGTAAGGGCCAGGGTGGCTCAAAGGAGCTGCTCATTCTCCAAAGAAACTTGCATAATGGATAAGAAAGGCACGCTTGTTCGCATGAAAGGAAAAGCACTGCGGATAGAGAGAGAGGAGGCGCCGGGTCAGGCCTATGACTAATCCACCGGTGTTACATAAGCTTCATCCGCGCTGCAAAACAAGCCTTTTCTATAAGGAGGCTAACTGAGACACCCCCACCGAGTAAAGCTGGCGCAGTGAGATCCATTTATTTCACACTGTGACTAAAAGTTAAAAAAATACATACGTATATGATACAGTCGCGCAAAATTTGAATCCATAGAAACAAGTTTATTCACGTTCAGCTTTGAAATCTGGAGTTTGCCATATATGTTTGAGAACTTAGAATTTTGCAGTGGGGCAGTGAATTCAGCACCCGGGGAGCAGTGCTTGGGGGTGATACCATGCTCAGGGTACCTCAATGGCACCTTGTTGGTCTAGGATTCGAACCAGCAAACTTTCAATTACAAGCACGCTTCCCTAACCATTAAGCCACCACTGCCCACAAAAAAAGCAGGGGAGAGCGCGAACACAACCCGCCACTACCAGAAATTATGCAGTGGAGACTCCCACATTTGGGGAATTGGTGGGGGGCAGCACAGCCGCAGGGCAATGGCTGGGTCTCACCCTGGGTGACTGCCTTTCTGATCATGGCATCTCCCCTGCCAGGTAAGCATGTGAAGGTAAGTATTTTTCACTTTAGGCAAGTGAAAAAGACAACTGAAAAGCTTCTGATTTCCAGAAAACGGTGAAGTCTGAGAGAGTGAAGGCAGGTGTCAAACTAACAGATCATTATGAATTCAGGTCTTTCCAGAGCTCTGAGCCTGCATCTGCGTATAGCTGTATAGCATACTGTGTGTGTGTGTGTGTGAGCGGTCCCCATAAGGATATGTTTACCCGACATACATGTGCGTGTGTGTGTGTGTGTGTGTACATGTAGCTACAGAAACTTGCATCTAATAGTAAGTTTCTCCACAGTTTCATTTTCTTAAATTTAAGTAATTCATCCAGGCATTTACAGTAACTGGCAAATCAGCACAGCTTGAATGAAAATGTGGTCTGATGATATGGCAGCTTACACAGCATGTGTTATATAGCAAATGTCAGTCTTCTGAGATGATGTGACCAATACCTTTGCTCCTTCCTGTATCACAAAAAGTCACCCAGGCAGCATGCTTGCATCGCCTATGGTACGATGACAAAGGTGATGTAACGTAGCTGCCAAACCTTCTGAAGAGTCACAGCTCTTGGGTATTTAGGCTGTGAAGATGAATTCTTGCCTACTTGAAGTGAAAAACCAACAGGTGACATATTTTGATTATCTGATCAGCAGTATAGGAAGTAGCAACACTCAAAATTTAACAACAAAAATAATAATAATAAGAAGAAGAATAATAAGAATAATTATTATTATTATTTAATATTTTTGACTGTATTAAGACCAACCAGTAACAAGAATGTGAATAATTCTGTTTGAACCATGTTTTAAAGGTTCATCAGATTGTGTTCTACATTCTCATAGCAGCAAAGATTAATTGGAAACTACAAAGAGTAAAGACCACACGAATTTACATTAAAACTCCATACAGAAAAGGCTATATGAAGCTTTAAAAAATTCTTGCACATAAAACAAACTGATATATGGCACCAAAGCATGAAAATCTGCCACTTCTAACGTACAGGACAGAACAGAGGTGCTGGATCGTAAGCTCACCTGGGATCATTTTCCAGCTTCTCCGTTTTCATGGCCCGTAAAAGTTCTCTTTCATTACGCTGCACATGGCGTGACGCTGTAGAGAATGAGCACATTGTGTGTGTTTCACCTTCAGGTTCCCTAAGTGGCAGCCGCTGCCCAGTGTCTACAGGGACCAAGGAAGTGCAGCTGTGAACCTCAGGCTTTTCCACTGTCCTGCTGCATTAAAATATGGATGTAGAATGACCCCCACAGGCATCATAACGTTATTGATGATTACTGCTGAATACTACAAGTGTTTTCTTTGTAAATTGTTAAACACGCACAGGTACTGTATTTGTGCCAAAAGACTACAGAATCACACATAGGCAGCAGGTAATGGTAAGGCTGTGATGCCGCACGACAGGCTCTTGCTCAGCAAAATGACAAAATAACATCATATCTTGCAGCCAAACAAATAACATTAAACGGCAGCATCTCTTTCAGGCATATTTTAAAATGTTTTATATAGTGAACAAAACTAGAGACTAGTATATCACTTGCCATCACTATTGTTTCGCTCCTAAAAAGCAAAGTATTTAACAAAAAAGGCTACACTGCCCCCTCCTGACAAAACAACAACATTACAACATTGTTCTTTTCAATATTGCAGAGTTAAGAAAATGTTTGAATAGTGGCAGAACCTTCCATAGCCATCACTTTTCACTTTTGTTTACATGTTTATAATAGTTGTACTTGAGTATTCTCTTTAAAGGGATCAGAGAATAGTTTAAAGGAGAGCAACTGTGTTTTTTTTGTTTTCTCCCCAAAGTTTTCTGAGCCAGTAGCACAGCGTGACTGTGCATCTTATCACCCATCTGTTCGATTAGTCTGAAGGAGCAGCAGCCAATAACATGATCCGCGCTGCCCGGATTCCCATGGCGCCAAGACGTCACGATTGCGTACATCACTCCACTTTCAGTAATCACAGCTCCAGATCACTGCTCTGCATGGGCCAGTGTCCATCAAAGAGTACCCAGAGATGCATTCGCAGGCACTTAGAACGGGTTTCATCACCAATTCACAAGATCCAGAAGCCATGTGTACCACATGAAGAAAGGAACAAGACACACAGATGATTGGGTTTGGCGACATATGTAGGTAACAAAGCGATCACGTGGTGTTTAGCATGAGAACAGTATGGAAGAGGCTTGATCCTGGGCTGAAGTCATTTATGATGGACAGACAGCTGAACTAAGCTTAGCCCAAACTGTAGAGAAGGTTCTATGCATTTAATAATAATCAACATGAAGTAGAACATTTATGCAGTACCAGGCAGATCCAGCTGGGCAAAGACGATGCAGATGCTGAAAATGTAACCATGCAGTACTAATGACCCAAGCAGGGCACTGCAAACAGAGAGGGTCGTGCTTCTGTCACCAAGCGGGTTCCCAGCTACGGGTTCCCCAAATGCTAGCATGCAGCAGGACGGACATATCAGGACACAACCTCTGTCGTGTGCCGTGACACTTTGTGTCACTCCAGAATCTCACGCGGCCCTGTAGAACATTGTAGGGGTCACCAGTGTCACTCTGAGCAAAGCCAGGAGCAATTCGGCACCTGACAAAGCAGCCGTGCTCTGTGGCTTCAAAAGGGCCTGCTGACACTCTCAACACATGCCTTTGTCAGTCATTTACAAGCAGCACAATGTACACGCCAGAAAACATTAACAGCATACTTACTCAGTACTTCAACATAATAACTGCTAGTACTGTTCATGAATAAGTGCCACAGTACATATCAGTCAGGGATTTGACAATATAAGAGATACTGAATAGGTTGCGTCTTCAGAATTATAGCTAATAGCATACTATCAACAGCAGTTGGATTTAAATGGCAGAAAAAAGAGTAACTGTGTCAGCATGCTTACAAACAGGGCAGGACAATATCAGGAAACACAATATGCACAGTGATATTTCCTGACACAACATAGAACTGACGGTTACTGAGAATATAGTCACGTACTACACAATGGATTCATTCTACACAATAAAATTGGAAGTAATGATTGCACCATTTAACCATGTTACCTGTTCCTCAAACCATTCCTGAATGATTTTTGCAGTGTGACAGAGGACAATATCCTACTGAAAGAGACCACTGCCTTCGGGGAATACCACTGCCATGAAGGAGTGTTCTTGGTCTGTAATAATGTTTAGGTAGGAGGCATGTGTGAAAGTGACATCAACACGAAAGCCAGGACAAATGCTAGGACCCAAGGCTTTCTGACAGGACAAGGCCCAGAGCATCACACTGCCTCCACTGGCTCACATTCTTCCCATAGTGCAACCTGGTGCCATCTCTTCCCCTGGTGAACAACGCACACGCACCCGGCCATCCACATGATGCTACAGAAAACGTGACTCATCAGACCAGGCCGCCTTCTTCCACGATCCAGTTCTGGCAATGGGCCTATTGTAGGTGCTTTGACAGGTGCCATTGACCCTTGACAGGTGACATTGCGATGAGATAATCAATGGTTTGCACTTTATCTGTCAGTGGTTATAATGTTATGGCTGATCTGTTAAGTATCAAGCTATTGTCTAATTTACCACTTTGTTAATATCTATGTGTCTAGGCATGTATCTGCAGATCCAGCAGGAGTTTGCAGCTGACTATGTGCATACTTAACAACTAAGTTGCAATTCGACTTTACATTGGTCAGTGTTACACCAGCTGGCTATAAATTTAGTAGTGATAGGGACGAGATTACCTATATTGAGCTTGATTCAAAACCAAGACCACGAAGAATAGAGCCCAACTCAAGAGCAAGATTTTGGGGGTGGAAATCTTGTAAAGACGGAGACATTGGGGGGGATGGTCGAGACTGAGTTAAGACTAAGACTTGGGATGTCAAGACTGAGACATGACTGAGTCTTTCATGGGGCAAAGACCAAGTCAAGACTGAGGCCTTCTCCATATTTTTTTAAATGTAGCTTTTTCTATGTGTTTTGGCCTTTCGTCTACACACAAACAGTATTTTAGGTCGCTGAAAGCTTTTACAAAACTCCATCCAGGGTTAAGATTTTCAGAAACTCCATTTTCAGCATCAACGTGTACACGGAAAACTGAGTTTTTGGCTTGTAATGTCTGCTTTGCCTGACGTCAGATTGTGCACCATTAGCTGTTCACATAAGGTGAGTTTGTTATCTACAGCCCGTTTTTAGCCTTTTCATGTGGATGGAGATTTTTTTTTTTAATAACAGAGGAGAGAAAACACCATTTTAAGAAATACCCATGCACCTGTGGACAAGGCCTGGGACTTTAGGGGGGATCGAGACCGAGTCAAGACTGAGACTTTGGTGGGGGGGGGGGGGGGGG